CTTGCTCATGGATAGGAAGACTCAATATTGTGAAAAATGGCAATACTACCAAAGGCAATTTATACATTCAATGAAATTCCAATACAAATACCAATACCAATACCATTCTTCAATGACATGGAAAAGGCAATCTCTAGTTTCATTTGGAATGGAAAGAAGCCCCAAATAAGCAAAGCACTCCTTAAAAATGGAAAAAAGGTAGGAGGCATCTTACTCCCTGATTTCAAATCCTACTACACTACCGTGGTGGTTAAGACAGCATGGTACTGGTACAATGACAGACACATAGATCAATGGAATAGAATTCAGAACCCAGAAATCAGCCCATCCACCTAAGGTGAACTGATTTTTTTACAAGTAGATGAAATCAGTTAAGTGGAGAAATGACAGCCTTTTTAACAAATGGTTTTGGCAAAATTGGAAAACTATCTGCAGAAGACTCAAGCAAGATCCATACCTCACCCCATATAAAAAAAACAAAACACAACTCTAGGTGGATCATAGACCTAGGACTGAAACCAAGGACTATAAACTTCATTAAAGAAAAGCTAGGAAGAACTCTAGAAGTCCTAATCCACAACATAAACAGTCTTCCAACTATCCTGAAAACTCTACAACCAGGAGAAGATAAAATAGATGAATGGGACCTTCTAAGAATCAAATCCCTATGCACATCCAAAAACTTCTACAACAGGGTAAAAAGGGAAGCCACAGACTGGGAAAAAGTATTTGATGATGACATGTCAGATGTTGTTGTTGTTAAGTGCCATCAAGTCGCAGGTGACTCATAGAGACCCTATGAAGGAGAGTCCCCAAAGCTTAGGTGCCTTTCATCCTCTCTCCAGATTCATAGGGTTTCCGGAGGCAAGCTATTATGGAAGTGGATCCTCCCAAGCTTGTTTTAATCAGGGAGCTCCACACCACTCTCTGTCCACATTGGGTAACCAACCATTAACACACTTGACACATTTTCCATGTGAAGTTGTGATTCCTTTTTCCATCTCTTGGAAAAATGATGATGGAATCTGGACTGGGATTGCACTGTTCTTGCAGATTCCTTCTGGCAGTGTTGGCCATCTTCACAATGTAAAGTCTTCCAATCCATGAGCATGTTAGGTCTCGGAGTTTTCTTTAGTTGTGTTTTGTAGTTTTTGTTATTTAGATCTTTTCTATCTCTAGTTAGATTTATTCCTAAATATTTTTTTCACCTTTTAGGTAGCTCTTGTAAAAGGAATTGCTTTATTTCCTTTTTCACTCTAGAGGGATTCAAGTGTTTTTTGTTTTCTTAACTTGTACCCTCCTGCTTAACTCAAGCAGTCAATTAGAGCCACTGTGCTTTGGAATTTACTATATACAGGATCATATAATTTGTAAATAGACATAATTTTATTCTTTGTCAATTCATATGCTTTTTAAAAAATTATTAATGTATCTTCCTACAACCAGTAGAAGATAAAATAGATGAATGGGACCTTCTAAGAATCAAATCCCTATGCACATCCAGAAACTTGTCCATCAGGGTGAAAAGGGAAGCCACCGACTGGGAAAAACTATTTGGTAATGACATATCAGATAAGGG